ATATATATATATATATATTTATACATATAACGCTTGTTAAAATTAAGTGTTATGTATTATCATTATCTCAAATAGCACTTTTGGTAAAAAAATGTTATCTGATAAATAATATAGATAACACTTAATATAAACAAGCGTTATGTGATGAACCTTTCACATAACGCTTAGCATAAAAAGTATTATGTGAATGGCTCTTCACATAACACTTAGCGTAAAAAAGCGTTATGTGAAGGGATTATCAGATAACGCTTATTATACAAAAGCGTTATGTGAAAGGTTCATCACATAACGCTTTTTAAGCGTTATTTGAAGAATCAGTCTTCAGATAACACTGATTCCAATAACGCTTAAAAGTCTTATCTGAAGAAAAAAAAAGCGCTATCTGAAGTCTTTTTTGGCGTAGATCCTCATCTAGTGAGTGCGGCACGCCTGCATGCAGCACCAGCAAACATTGCACCTGCGATATCGATGTAGTTTGTATTACTGATCATATATGTATCTCATGCTAGTAATCTCATCGTACTACAATGCTAAATCTTCGTGATCTCTCGGCGTATTGTGACTCAAATATGGTTGCCTTCTCTCTTCCTTTCTTTTTCGTGGCATGCATCATCGTATCTAAGGCTCCAACTTGTCATCATGGTATTGTCTGTTGCTGTTGAAAAGTCTTCTTCATCACGAATGAAAGATGTGTCATAAATAAACACGCTAGACATGGTAGTACTCACCTTCCTTGAGGCTATACTAACCTCAAGAAAAATCTACTGAAAAATAATATTTCCTGCGACTTCTCGAATTTTATGAATTCGAGAATCGAGGCACTGGATGTACTTGTGAGAGAATTTATAAGTCTTGTCTTATTAGAGAGACTATCCTCAACTTTCACATAACTGGATAACTCTTACTTGGAAGCTATCTCGAGAATTTAACTGGTCATCTTGGTGTCTGTGATGCTTACTGTCTTACTGTTATCTGATAAGGTCTGAGTTCAAGTTTCCAGGTAAATTTGGACTAATGACCTATATTTATGATCTCCATATTTTATCCGGCTAGTAACTCTTATACGCCAACCTTAAACTCATGAATATTGGCTTTTAACTGTGTACTACGTAGGGTTGTTCCAGTGTCAACTAGTCCCGCAAGTACTATATAAATAACTGATCTCTAACTTTGCCAACTACTGTTCAGAGTATCTTCTAACTAGTAAGATTGTAACACCCCGCTATTTACTAAAATCAGAGTACGCCTTTTCACAAATTTTCTAAATAAAGTAAATAAAATATTTATTTTTCCGAAATCTGGTTCGGAGTGTTACCGTAAAAATCTGAACTTTTTTGAAAACCGTTAATTTTAAAATGATATTAAAATCGGTTATATAATATGTATTAACCTACTAATGTCGGATCAAAAGCTGAATTCAAGTACTGAAAACTAAAGCGGAATAGTAGTGTAGCCAAAACATATATATACATATCAACAAATATCCTGAACAACTCGTCAGCTCACTCCTCGTCCCCGACTCTGTGACCTGAAAAACATGAAATACGTGGGGGCGTGAGCACCAAAATACTGTGCTCCGCAGAAACTCATACTAAAGTAAAACAGTGAAAATAATTACAATATCATGATCCTGGTAACTGAATTGAAACTGAACTGATAACTGAGACCGGTACTGAATAATCTGATACTGATCTCGTGATATAAATCACCTGACTGATAACTGAACATCTGCCGGCACAAACTAATACCAGACACCATGTGCACACTCTAGTGGGCAACTTAGGGCCACTAGAACCCATAATGGACGGGCGACCATTCCGAGCGGATACTGATAATACATACCTCAAACATGGTAGCGTAATTATAATCAATGTAGTACTTAGTCTGAGTCCCCACCTGATCCGTGAAAATGAAGGTAGTGCTGATGCCTGATCAAACTGAAATATAATATAAACAATTACTAAGGACTATGCTCAGACTGATAATTTAACTGATTAATTATGTTGTGATGCTCTACTAGACTTAACATGATATTCAGATTTAATCGGTATGACTGGAACCGGTTAAATACGAAACTGAACTGATATTAATTTACTGGACTGAACTGGACCCGGAATTTTACCTGAAAATGGTACTGAAATCAAGAACCGGGACTAAAACAATAAAATACGGGCTGAACCGGTCCAGCCGGTCTGAACCGGTCTGGACTGGACCGCCGGTCTGCTGAACCGGGC